TTGACTTGACCTTTAGGCTTCAGCTCAAATCTCTTCCCCAGATTTCTAGCCACCCTGGCCCTAAAGCCCTCTTCCTGTACTGAATCTTGCCTGTGTTACTCATTAGAGGCAGATATATGGCCACACACAGAATATTATGATAAAGTTATGAGGCTGACTCACCAAACCTTGATATCAGGCTCATTACATTATTGCCATACATCATCTTATTAATTACCTTTTCCTCTGTGCACATCTTTCTTTAGCTCTGTTGTAGTTTTCTTTGGAAAGGGCTTGACTTTAAGTTTCTTGATACCTCCTGAAGCTTTTTTCATTCTTTCTTCATGTGTTAGTTGGCTTTTGCCTTCTGGGAGTTTGTTATTTTGAGGATTCAGGCACATGTATATGTAATTAGGCTGCAGTGAGGGATTGGAGGGATTCATTGCAAAGTGCCATTTGAGCTGGATTTAAATCAAAGGTAAAAGTCTGACCATGGGGTAAGATGGGACAGGCTATCCCAAATAGGGGCATCAGCCTCAGTAGAGGCATGGACACATAAAAGCAGAGGGCATAAGTGAAGGCAGTGGGGTGACAGCAGGGTGGATGGGGCTTGGAGGGGGGATGAGAGAAGAGCCTAGAAGAATTCATCATCATAATGGCTAAGCTGGAGCCAGTTTGTTAAGTGTTCTGAGAGCCATGCCAAGGAGTTAAAATGTGATTCTAGGCCATGAGGAGCTGTACAATCATTTTTTTAAAGAAAAGGAATGTATAAGTTTTAAGTTTTTAGAAAGATGCTTCTAGTAGCACAAACCCCTCACAATATCTTCCTGTCCAACTTGAAATATCTCTAGTGTCGGTCTTTTTCTCTGTGGTTGGGAGTTTGAAACACACAATTGTTTCATTCATTACAGGTATTTTCGAGTGGGAATTATGACCCACTCCATGTTTTCAGCATCAATTTTCTTTTATGAATGATACTGAGAGTTAGGTTTCTTCCTGAAGCATCCTTCCTCTCTGTACTGTCAGCCTGGGCCCTAATCTGGCGTCTGGTTGAACTCAGAGTGAGGATAAGGTTTTGCTTTTTCAAGGGTAGTTGTGGTAGAAAGCAACATCTTGAGTACTTAGACAGTTACGGCAGGATCATTTATTGGTGGGGAATTAGGGAGCGCTCTTTCCTCCCTTTTATTCATTGCACACAGCAGATAGCCCAGATAGAATCCCTTTGTGGTTAATAACAAAATACTTGGATGATCCTGTTTTAACTTTCATCCCTACTTTCTCATGCTGCTCCTAGACCTGGTGCCTCCTGACATACATTGCAATATCCTCTTCATTTTACCCACAAGTTTCTTCAGCATCTAGGAGTCAGCAGAGACCTCCCCGCCCCGCTGAACACACAGTGAGAGGGGCGGGAGGAAGCTACACGTCTGCCCTGGGGTTGGCAGGGCGGCTGCTGCCTGGCCCTGAGTCTTGGATATTTTGCTCTGTCTCCACCCTCTGCTAAGACCCGCAGCTGCGTGCTCTTTGAGGAGCCTCCTCCCAAGAAATGCTGTGGTTTTATGAAGTAATAGATGATTTTTAAAAAAAGTAAAAAGCTGTTCTTTTTGGTTGCCTTCAAGTCTGGGGGATTGTTTAGCTGAAAGGATTGTGATTGGAATGTAGAAGCCTTTTGAGCCAAGTCATACACCCCAAATCACTGATTTCTTTTATTTTTATTGAAAAGACTAGTTTTTGTTAGTTGTTTGGTAACTGGGGTATAGACTTAACTCATTCAGCACGGAGAGCTCTTGGCTCCAACAGGACTCTGCTCTCACGTGGTAAGATACAGTTAAAGCTGGCATATGTTGAGGGCCTGATCTGTGGTCTCCAACCCATCCGTGCACCATATGCATGGAGGGCTTGTTAGGTGCATAGGAGTTAAGTGAATTGCTCAGGATTGAAAGTGAAATCTCTGAAATCTTTGAAGTTGTGTGCAAAAATGTGTTGGGAAGGGCTTTTGTTTTTTCTTCTGTAAAGAATGGTGGTATCTTCCATCATGACGCCCCCCAAAGGCCAAACCCACACAGCTCTGGTAGGTCTGGAGCCTCCGACTGGTGACTGTGGGAGCTGAAGGAAGGGACACTCACTTTAAAGCTAGAATCCCAGTGTGGCTTTGGACTGAGCTCTGTCATCCTGGACTCAGTTTCTGCATCCTTGGTGTGAGACTGTTGTGTACTGCCTGCACACCTCTGAACTGTCTTGAGAATCTGATGAAGCATGTGGGAGCACTGTTGTGAGCTGTGGAGGAGGGGCCAGTCACTGTGTCTGGATGCAGGCCCAAGGGTTACAAGAATAGAATGAATTCAGTAAGATTGAGGCCCTCAGCTGGGAATGGACCAGTGTGGGGGAGAGATTTTTCCACAGAACTGGATTAAAAATCGGATTTTCATCTATGCAGCTGTGTGCTCTTGGCCCATTTGGCATTGATAACAGAGCACTTGTGAGTCATGTGGCCCAACTTAAGAGCAGCATGGGATCTTCACAGGTAGTCTGTCTGCATCTCCATGTAAGGGATCAGGCTTCTGGAAACACTCCTTCTCATCCAAGCACACGCTGCCTCTCCTTTGCTGGCTAATCTCCAGACTTTGCTTTTGTGGGGAAAGCAGGGAATACTGCTCTCTCCTCCTCCAAGACCCCTAGCAGTCTTAAGGATATCTCACACTTCTAATAAGATTCCTGATTTGTCATCCTATAGAGAGGTTTAACTGGGGTCTCTGGCTTCATAGATGAAGCTGGCGTGGCCTCAAGAAGAAATGCCGCTCCCTGGCTGCTCTGCGCTCCTGCCCCCACTGTGTCTCCTTTGGCAAGAAGCCTGGAGTTCTCTTTGAGACATTCTGCTTGGGTTCCATTGTCCACAGCGGCTGTCTGTGTGGCTGCTAGCTGAAGGCTCTCATTATGCAAGGTCTTTAATGACCATATACAAGATCTAACAGAAGCAGTTGTTTTCTGAGTTGAGGAAGATTGTTCAGCTCTGGCTTGAAGCACTGGTTTCTGCTGCAGTGGTTTAGCGGTTCATTTCTGGTGACTGGCCTTGGCTTTCTGGAGCCGTTAGAAGGAGGCTGTCTTCTCCTTGAGAACTGATCACTGAAACCACAAAGCACATGGAAAGAGATTTTGACTCATGTAATTTCTGTGTGACCTATTAGTATATAGAGATACTAGTAGTTCATAGCTGTTTTGGGCATATTTAGTCAACTCTTCATCTTGCTTAGTTTACTGCTAACATGTATGGGCATTCAAAGAGATGTTTAGCCTTTTCTAGATGTAAGCTCTCACCCAGTGCTTAGGAATTTAAAACCAAACAACAATAACAGATAATGAGCTTAACACTGCCATTTGCCTCTGAATTATTTTGCTGTTACTATTGTCTAAGGGACTCTATGGCTGGGGTTCTGCTCAGTTTCCGTGCTGTACGCAGACATCTCTGTTCATATAGCAGTGACAGAGAAGGAGGAAATAGGAAGAACTCATGGAATTTAAGGGCAAAAGTAGGTGAAGTCCAGTTATATATCTGCAAAATAGATGTAATGAGACTCAGGACTATTGTGTCATTCTGAGATAAACCATGTGGAAGCCCTTTATAGACTCAGAAGTGCTCCTAACATGAGAAGATTGGGTGAAACTGGGCAGTTGTCTAGCTGCTTCAGGGTTGATGAGTGGTGTTGCTGGGGTGTTTCTCCTTTGGGACTCCAGCATGGTTGCCCTTGGGTTCCCAAAAACACCCTGTGCATATGATACATTCCTCTTTATTATAGCCTTTGGGGAGGGAATAATTGAAAGTAGGACTTGGAGAGTTGCCTGGATGGTAGGAAACCTTTCTTGTTACTGTTTCTGTCTGCTTTACTCTTCTATGAAGTTCAACTTCTCTAGGTACCTGGCAGAAGATGGCCACTTCCCAGTTTCCAAGTTGATCTCACATCTTCTTCCATTCATAGGCAGAAGTTAAATGACTCCCTTTGGATTCTGACTGTAAATTCCTGAGACAAGGAATCTGTTGGCTCAGTTAGGTCACATGTCCATTCCTGGTCTAGCTGGGCGTGTAAGGGGACTTGAGTCCTGTACTTTCTACCTCACAACAAAGGATCCAGTCCTCTGTAGGGGCAAGAGAGGAGATAGTTGTGGGATATTATAGTACATAAAACTGTCAAGGTTCTTGATCTCATAGAGCTTACAATCTAATAGGAAAGAAAGACATTACACAAATAATTGTGGGGTAGAGTGAGTTGTATGATAGCCAGACATAACCAGAGAGGGCTAGCCTGGAAGGCCTCCCCAAGGACAGGTGGGTACAATTAACCAAAGGAGCCAGGACCGCACGGATCCTGGGAGGGAGCAGGGTGGTGAGTGAGGAATAAGTAAGTGTTCCAGACAAAGGTGGCAGAGGAAGGAAAAGCCCAAAAGTGGAAAAGGAAAGAAAACGCCTACTTTGGTAGTTTGGAAGAAACTGAAAGAAACACATGTTTAAAATTTTTTCAAAAATAGCTGATGTGCCATTCTCTTTGGCTCAGACTGGAAGTTCTTTGAAGGCAAAACTCTCTTTCCTGTTGCCATTGGAACCCATTGGTGTGGGGAGAATTTTTATGGCAGGGCACATTCTGTTTCATGCAGTAGTTTCTTAGCACAGTTTTCTTCCCAGCTTATTAGCTGTTTAGCTGTGAAATCTTAGTATATGCCCTGAAGTGCATCCTCTTGCCTTTCACTGGGAAGATGGATTACATACCCTAACAGTGTGCTTCCTCCCCCTCCAGGCTGGCAAAGGTGATAAAAGGGAAATGCTGGTCGTTTCTGGAAGGATCAATACTTGCCAGTTTTTCTTTCCTCTGTAGGTACTGCTCTTATGTCATCCCCCTTTCCAGCCCCTGAGCAGATGTTTTATGGGCATTGTTGGTTATGCTTTTGTTTTGAAAATTTGGAAACATTGAAAGAGGAGAGGGGTAGGAAAAAAGCCCATAATTGATTCTAATATATATTTAATTTGGCAGAACTTAAGAGAGACTTGCTGGGATAAGGCGGGACATTTCTTTGATCTCCCAGACTTCTTATCGTGGAAGGCAACAGGTGTCACAGCACGGTATGTTAATTACAAGTTGTATTTTATTTGCTCTCATCCATTCTCTGGTGTCTGTATATATATATTACTTTCTTAACTCACTTTGACTGGACGTGCTGTTTGTACATCTGCATGTGATTTTGCATACTTGAAACATCTTGAATCTGTCTTCTACCTCCACTGCAGATGCCTAAACACCATTGTTCCTGTGAGGCCTGGAAGGTGGGTATCCAAGGGGAAGGCTGTTCATTAAAACTGGGCACGTTTGTGAAAGATGTGAACAGTCCATCATGAAATGTGACTGTTTTTCTTTCCAAAGGCCCTTTTTATATGGTGAATAAAAGGAAAATATTTTTTTCTTGGTCCCTAAAATTAAGATAAGAGATATGTTTTTCAAGGAAGCTGATTTTAAATGGATAGGTGTGTTATGAACCTGTTTTGCTTTTTATATCACTGTGTCTGAACCATCACAGAGTGTAGAGGTATGTATGTTGAAGTCAATGTTTTTCAATTAATTATGAATGTTATAAAAAGCTATTGTGCTACATGACAGAGACAATTTAAAAAATACTCATTGAGTGTGAAATTGCAGCTGCTATAATTAACAGAGAAGTGTGTATGAATATATATATATAGAGAGAGAGAGGGAGAGAGGGAGGGAGGAAAGAGAAAGACAGGTTGGACATGAAATCTCAAAGTAAGCAAGCTGTTGTCATCTTGACCTCAGATTTCAGGGGATGTACAAGAGGGGCAGTGGGGGGGGACGGGTATTCTCATCTTGAGAACAATTTAGGATCTGTGATGGAGAAATCTGTGAGCAAGAAGATCATTTCCCAGAGGAAAGATAAAAGATAAACTTGTATAAATATATATTTAGGGAGGCAGTTGTTGTAGTTAGCTCATTCAGAGAGAGCTAAATCCTCCTCCATTTTCCTTTTTATTTAAAGGTGAGGGAGGCTGGCGATAGCAGTACCATCTTCCCTCTGCTCTTCCTGTCATCTCATTTTGGATGATTTGCACCTTTTCTTAAAGAGTTGATAAGAGTGTGATAGTTCAGCAGCAGGGGCGTGCAGAAAGGAGATAGTAGGGGACGTGTCTCACAAGCCCATCATTCATCAGGGGCATTATCTTCCCCCACTCCCAGTGAAATGATCCTTAGCTGAAGGTCTCAGGGTAGTGAGGCTCCACAGATGTGTAAGGGTGGCCCCGGCAAACCTCAGGTACTCACCCCGCAGGTCATTACCGTGATACTGTTATACCACCCATGGAGAGGCCATTGTGTTGGTGGAAATCTCATCTTAGCCATTCCTCTTTGGGTGTGACATTAATTGTCTGAAGTTATTTCTGGAAGGGACTTCCTCTAGGTTTTGTTTTTTTTTTAACCTTTGTGCAGTAGTGAAGAAATGTTTTCATCATTTTAGCCAAATGGACCTATATTAGTCAAAATAATGCCAATAGTGTGGGTATTGGCAATATCCTATTGGCCTACAGACCTTGAGGACTCAAAGACAGAACTACAGATACAAGAGGACCTTGCTTTCCTTCTCTTTTCCCTTGGGTGCTCTGCAACACAGGGTGTTGACTTCTTCTCTGGTTCTTTCTGATGGTGCTGGATAGAATACACTCCCATTTTGTGGTGTCTGATACCCTATTAAGGCACCTGTGGAGTGGGCTTTTTGAAGCTCGCTCTGGCTCAGATTTAATAGATTTGAATGCAGTGACATGTGTACCCACTGTGGAGTCACAGGGTGACTTACACAACAAAGGATCCAGTCCTCTGTAGGGGCAAGAGAGGAGATAGTTGTGGGATATTATAGTACATAAAACTGTCAAGGTTCTTGATCTCATAGAGCTTACAATCTAATAGGAAAGAAAGACATTACACAAATAATTGTGGGGTAGAGTGGGTTGTATGATAGCCAGACATAACCAGAGAGGGCTAGCCTGGAAGGCCTCCCCAAGGACAGGTGGGTACAATTAACCAAAGGAGCCAGGACCGCACGGATCCTGGGAGGGAGCAGGGTGGTGAGTGAGGAATAAGTAAGTGTTCCAGACAAAGGTGGCAGAGGAAGGAAAAGCCCAAAAGTGGAAAAGGAAAGAAAACGCCTACTTTGGTAGTTTGGAAGAAACTGAAAGAAACACATGTTTAAAATTTTTTCAAAAATAGCTGATGTGCCATTCTCTTTGGCTCAGACTGGAAGTTCTTTGAAGGCAAAACTCTCTTTCCTGTTGCCATTGGAACCCATTGGTGTGGGGAGAATTTTTATGGCAGGGCACATTCTGTTTCATGCAGTAGTTTCTTAGCACAGTTTTCTTCCCAGCTTATTAGCTGTTTAGCTGTGAAATCTTAGTATATGCCCTGAAGTGCATCCTCTTGCCTTTCACTGGGAAGATGGATTACATACCCTAACAGTGTGCTTCCTCCCCCTCCAGGCTGGCAAAGGTGATAAAAGGGAAATGCTGGTCGTTTCTGGAAGGATCAATACTTGCCAGTTTTTCTTTCCTCTGTAGGTACTGCTCTTATGTCATCCCCCTTTCCAGCCCCTGAGCAGATGTTTTATGGGCATTGTTGGTTATGCTTTTGTTTTGAAAATTTGGAAACATTGAAAGAGGAGAGGGGTAGGAAAAAAGCCCATAATTGATTCTAATATATATTTAATTTGGCAGAACTTAAGAGAGACTTGCTGGGATAAGGCGGGACATTTCTTTGATCTCCCAGACTTCTTATCGTGGAAGGCAACAGGTGTCACAGCACGGTATGTTAATTACAAGTTGTATTTTATTTGCTCTCATCCATTCTCTGGTGTCTGTATATATATATTACTTTCTTAACTCACTTTGACTGGACGTGCTGTTTGTACATCTGCATGTGATTTTGCATACTTGAAACATCTTGAATCTGTCTTCTACCTCCACTGCAGATGCCTAAACACCATTGTTCCTGTGAGGCCTGGAAGGTGGGTATCCAAGGGGAAGGCTGTTCATTAAAACTGGGCACGTTTGTGAAAGATGTGAACAGTCCATCATGAAATGTGACTGTTTTTCTTTCCAAAGGCCCTTTTTATATGGTGAATAAAAGGAAAATATTTTTTTCTTGGTCCCTAAAATTAAGATAAGAGATATGTTTTTCAAGGAAGCTGATTTTAAATGGATAGGTGTGTTATGAACCTGTTTTGCTTTTTATATCACTGTGTCTGAACCATCACAGAGTGTAGAGGTATGTATGTTGAAGTCAATGTTTTTCAATTAATTATGAATGTTATAAAAAGCTATTGTGCTACATGACAGAGACAATTTAAAAAATACTCATTGAGTGTGAAATTGCAGCTGCTATAATTAACAGAGAAGTGTGTATGAATATATATATAGAGAGAGAGAGAGGGAGAGAGGGAGGGAGGAAAGAGAAAGACAGGTTGGACATGAAATCTCAAAGTAAGCAAGCTGTTGTCATCTTGACCTCAGATTTCAGGGGATGTACAAGAGGGGCAGTGGGGGGGGAGGGGTATTCTCATCTTGAGAACAATTTAGGATCTGTGATGGAGAAATCTGTGAGCAAGAAGATCATTTCCCAGAGGAAAGATAAAAGATAAACTTGTATAAATATATATTTAGGGAGGCAGTTGTTGTAGTTAGCTCATTCAGAGAGAGCTAAATCCTCCTCCATTTTCCTTTTTATTTAAAGGTGAGGGAGGCTGGCGATAGCAGTACCATCTTCCCTCTGCTCTTCCTGTCATCTCATTTTGGATGATTTGCACCTTTTCTTAAAGAGTTGATAAGAGTGTGATAGTTCAGCAGCAGGGGCGTGCAGAAAGGAGATAGTAGGGGACGTGTCTCACAAGCCCATCATTCATCAGGGGCATTATCTTCCCCCACTCCCAGTGAAATGATCCTTAGCTGAAGGTCTCAGGGTAGTGAGGCTCCACAGATGTGTAAGGGTGGCCCCGGCAAACCTCAGGTACTCACCCCGCAGGTCATTACCGTGATACTGTTATACCACCCATGGAGAGGCCATTGTGTTGGTGGAAATCTCATCTTAGCCATTCCTCTTTGGGTGTGACATTAATTGTCTGAAGTTATTTCTGGAAGGGACTTCCTCTAGGTTTTGTTTTTTTTTTAACCTTTGTGCAGTAGTGAAGAAATGTTTTCATCATTTTAGCCAAATGGACCTATATTAGTCAAAATAATGCCAATAGTGTATTGGCAATATCCCATTGGCCTACAGACCTTGAGGACTCAAAGACAGAACTACAGATACAAGAGGACCTTGCTTTCCTTCTCTTTTCCCTTGGGTGCTCTGCAACACAGGGTGTTGACTTCTTCTCTGGTTCTTTCTGATGGTGCTGGATAGAATACACTCCCATTTTGTGGTGTCTGATACCCTATTAAGGCACCTGTGGAGTGGGCTTTTTGAAGCTCGCTCTGGCTCAGATTTAATAGATTTGAATGCAGTGACATGTGTACCCACTGTGGAGTCACAGGGTGACTTACAGCATTCAGTTCTGCCAGACATGAGTTGTGTGGCCTTGGGGATGTCCTTTTTCTTTTTTGAATCTCACTTGCCTTATCTGTAAGGTGGGGTCATGGTACCTACCATGTGAGCTTGTTGGAAAAGTCTTTTATAGCCGTTTTTCCAAACTAGCCTGATGATAGGAATTGGCTGAACCATTAATTCAAAGCATAGATCCAGGACTTCCAGTTTTAAGCTTCCTGAATCAGAATCTCCATGAGATACCTGGAAATTTGTATGTTTAGCAAGTGCCCCAGGTGGCTGTATGATCAGTACCTAACAATATACATTCACGTAATATGTGAATCTAAGGTGCTGTACACCCGTGAGGGACTCAAAGTATTTTACAAAGTTTAGTGAATTTGGTGGATGTAAAAATGGAGAGCTTCTTTTTGACACATCAGAATATGCCTGGGGGCTTCTGTCCCCATCCACAGCAATCTGAAACCCTGAGGAAGCAGCAGAAAGTTTAATGTTCAGAAATGATTAACTGGCTGCCCAGTCATCCCTGCCATTTTTTATTGGCTGCGGCACTCATGACTCATTCTATTTTCATTAGTATGGATTTGCAATCCCCCCTCCCCTGCCCCTTGCCCTGTACTTGTGAGCACCTTCAGAGCTCTCCCTTCCAGTTTCCTTCTCTTCTAGAGAAGAGCTGGCAGACCTTGATCAGACACACGCCTTCCTCCTACAAGGGTGGCTGCCCTCTCCCTGGCACACCTGTCTTTAACATTTGTGTGGCTTTTCTGTTGTTTTCTCAGCCTTTCAATTCTTTCTCCCTTCTCTATTTCAGCCTGTTCCATCAGGGTGAAACAAGGAACCCCTTTGAACTTTCTCGATTGTAGCATTAGGATAATGACAGTACCTACTTCATGGTGTTATACTATGGACTGAGTGAGCTAACACTACAATTTCCAATGGAGAATGGAGACATTTTTTGAAGGAATTAGCTATTTGATTTAGTTTCCTTTCTCTATCGATTTTGGCAGGAATCTTTGCATTAAGCTTCTGGCATAGTGGGAAGAGGGAAATCCTTGTAGTCAGACTGACCTGGATTCACTGTCTCTGCTGTGTACTGTCTGCAAGAACAGGGAGTGAATGATTTCCCCCTGCTGGGCTTGGGGTCCTCATCTGGACATCCTTTCGGGGTGGTTTAGGGCGTTATTAGTATTGTGGATTAAATGTGTAGTACATTGTATTTAAGCAATGCATGGTTCTTTTAATGAAAAAAAATCCTCTTTGTCGGTCTCCTCTTCTGGAATTAGGAAGATGAGGGTTTAAGTTTGAATGTGCCAATGCAAAAAAAACTTTGGGCAGTGGGACATGAACTTGGCATCCTCTGGGCCAGGGAGAGATTCAGACTGGGTGTTTATTTGGCCTTTATTGTGATTGTTTTGGGAGCTTTGGGGAAATGAGTGCCAAAAAGGCTAGAGGGTGTTTTTCTTTCCCTTTTTCTCTTCATTATTCTAGTGGAGTCAAAGCTAAAAAGTGATCACATTTCACCTTGTCTTAAAGCTTTCAGACTTGTTTTTGGCAGTGAAATGTATAAGAAGTCTTCTTCCTCCTCCTCCTCCTCTCCTCATCTGTTTCTCTCTCCTTCCCCTTCTTGTTTCTCCCTTTAGTTGTTGTCCTCATCCTGCAAAATATGGAAGCTACTCTTGTTTCTCTGGGGCACTAAGAAAATACCACCTGGCCCGTGATTAATTTGGAACTTAGCTCCATTCTTTTCTATATTAATTAAAATAATTGTTCTTAATGATAACATATCTATCAGTTTTCACATGCCTCCTCTTTACCTGTGCTAGGCACATTAGCAAGCATGAACCCCATTAATCCTCGTAACCATCAGTTAAAACAAATGGCATAACCACCATTTTGCAGTTTGAGAATCGAAGCTGAATGGTTTAGTAATTTTCCACATGTCAGCCTTTGAGTAGGTAACTATCCAGAGTTTTGGTAACATAAGAGAAATGGCAGCTTAGAAATTCAAGTAATACAATTTTGTATAATCAGACAAAACATATTCATATATATAAATCTTTTCATCAAAGAGATTTGAGTTGACTCGCAATAGAATAAGATCAAAACAGTAATAAATTAGTTTTAAAAAAATCACAGTGGAGTGAAAATATTGATAGAATAACTGGGATCATGCTAAGAGCTTCATAAAAACTGTAAGAATCTTCATAATTACGAATAGATGTGTTCCCAGGCTTCCTAGTGACCAAAGCAAAGACTAGAACATAATCAAGCTGAAATGAGTGACCAGGTAAGAACCTGATCCTGATTGCTGTCCAGGAGAAGTAGAACTCTGACTGTGGGGTCTCAGAGAGATTTGTCCTATAGAATAATTTATATTCTATAAATTCTTTTAAAGGTATATACTATTAAATTTAATGATAACTGTTTTTAGTTTTGATGTATGAAAGTACATTTATTTTCCACAATTTAAAAACCACTGTCTTGTTTTACGGTAGAAATATTCAAGTGGAACAATAGAATGAACAGTATGTGTACATACATTGTATATAAAGACAGGACTCATGCATTTGTATTCCAGTGTTTAGCACAGGTATTACAACTGTCAGCCCCATTTAACCCTTAAAACAAAAAAGTAGGATCTTTAGAAATACTCCTAATTCAGATCTATGCTGTAGCCAGATTTCTCGAAGTCATATTCTCTGAGTGTCTCATGTAGAAGAATGTGAACAATAATCCACAAAAATGAACAGGTACAAAATTCAGTCTTTCCTCCCATGTGTGTATATGTGTATGTGTGTATATATATTATATCATTTTTTAAAACAAGGATGCTCAGGATGAGCCTGAAAATAATGTGTATAGCATGGCTTAAAGTGATGCTACAGAAAAGAAGTTCTATGTGTAAATAAATGGGTGAGGGGGCTGGGATGCTGGAAAAGAGAATACTGGCTTTGAAAACTACTTGCTCCAGAGGCAAGAACTATCTTAAGGGAACTGAAGGCAGACATTTGACTAAGGAAGTTGTATACATCTGACAAGCAAATAGCATCGCTTTGCTGAAATTATCTTTGACCAATCGAGAGCCCATTTGGCATGTAGCACTTGCAGGGACTTGTTTCCACAAATGCCACCTCCCTCCCAACCTCTCTGACTCCTCCCATGCCAAGAGGCATTCCCTAGGTTTAATTTCAAATAGACCTTTTATTTTTAAAGCAGTTTTAGGTTTACAGAAAAGTTGTAAAGACAGAACAAGTGAATTCCTATATA